TCTCAAGCTTCGATCGAGGGTATCTTCGATCTTTCGAAGCAAGCGGTTGATCCTCGCCACTCGACCGCGTAGCCATCGGCCAAGTCTTCTCAAAATGGCGGCCCTTTGAAGCGACCAGGAAGTCGCGACGCCGCAGACAAGGGTAATGACCATCGTACCGAGAGTACTATCGCTTCAAAGAGGAAAAAAGGAACGCCGACGAAAGAAACGGAGGCATTGGGACGGAGAAGAAACGAAGCTCACAGAGAGAGCAAGAGGGAGAGAGAGAGAGAGAGAGAGCGAATCTGTGGATGGGAATGAAAACGAGGAAACGATGACGAAACTAAATAATTTTTCCAAAAAGTACTGTCGCGAGGAAAGGGGAGGGGGGTCTTTGCAGATACAACGGTACAAAAGGTGGAAGCGGAAGCAAGCGCGTGAATAGCGGCGGCAAGAATTTTGGAGGGAAAGAGGAAGCGAAACGGAGACAGAGAGGAGTTAGACTTAGGACAGAGAAGGGAAGAGAGAGAGGGAGAGGATGAGGATAGAGGGCAGAAGGGAGGGAAGATAGAGACGAAGAGAAAGGGGGAGAGCATCCTCGGTTAGCAGCCGGCAGCCAGTCAGCCAGCCCCGGCCAACATCGACCCGGCGAGCTGCTTTCTGCCCATGCGCAACGATCTTACCCAGGACTAGCGATGGGCCCGATCCAATTCTCGACTTACAACTTTGCGTAACTTTTACAAAACGATAACTGGCCGAGTTACCGACGGGTTGAAGCTGGTCTTGCGAATGGGTCGATCGGTATATCACCGGTAAGCACCGGTAATTTAGTTGCCGAAATCGCGTTCGAGATGCGTAGCACGTTAACGAGTCTAGCAACTGATGTATCGTTAACGAGGTAAATTGTTCTAAAATTAAGAAATTATCATAGGAAAGAATCTGCAAAACAAAGTTTTATTCACCCTGGTTAAATATTACCACGAATTTTTTAGCTACGATAACGCTGATACGATGAAATTAAAACAGAACCACTTTTATACGCGCATTGCTGTTTTCCCCGCGGTTTTTAAGCTTTTCGAGTGGAATTTTTATATTTAACAGGAACATTGTTTCCTTCGCTTTCGAGTGATTCTATTATAAGGGGCGGTATTAAAACCAACGTGAAAATATTTTGGTGGCTTCGAGACCGGCAAACGTTATTCCGCGTATTTTGTAAATGTTTCGTTTTTTCTTTTTTTTCCCCCGCGCCATCGATATGTGTTTAACGATCGTGTCAGCGGTAAAATATTTGAAGACGATATTACCAGTTTCCGATCGACGATTAGCGTCGACCGGCTGGAAAGAGCGAAACTGGAATGCCATGGAGTGTTTTCCGAGAAGTCCTTCAACGTGGTTGGAAAACATTTGTCGCTCCGGCACAATAAATACTGTCAATGCAAACGATTTATACGAGAGCTTTTGCTCATGTTTTCGCCCCGCTTTTCCCCCACACGTTTTTCCCTCGCAAAGACTGCGTAATCTGTGACAATATTTTTTCAATAAACAAGCGCTACATACGTATATATTTTTCATCTTCGTTCGAGATTGATATTTTTTCAGTTTCGTAATTCCAACGAAACGAAAGATACGACCGTAATACGTATTACACAACGTTAGAAATATTTTTAGACGCGATAGTTGACAACGGGGGTAGACTGGTCGAGGATCGTATACCGTAAACGGAACGCGATTCTCGTATTTACAACCCGTTTGAAACGGTTATTAATTGACGTTCTAGCGGGCTAGGATCGTCCACTCGGTGCCACAAACAGTCCTACTTCGTCATCCCACCCCGAAAACTATAAGGCGTTTAATTAACTCCCAGTGTTCGTGGAAAGAGACGGAGAATTTAAATGCAAATGCCGTGACACGCCCACAGGACGACCCTTTCTTCTTCCGGTTAAAACACAACCGTCGCCGAAAACCGGTGGTTGGAGCGATACCCCGGCTGATAGAATTTAAATGCGCCACCAATCTATAATTTGTCGTTTAGGGGATCGATTTGCAATATCTTAGAATCGACTAAATCCACCGTATTACGCTTTAATTTATTTCAAATAAATTAAACGAAACATATATTTCAACGCGGTTCCAATTGCGTAATCGTCCGTCGTTGTCTATTATCGTACATATCCGGTAATCGCACGAAAGCTACAGAGAAAGATTAAATACCTGTAACGCGAACCGTGCATATTCATAATGGCGGAAAGCACGTTCGAGATTCCGGGGTGAAGCTATTCCGCTCTATTTTCTTTCGTTTTCTTCTGATTTTTCCTCGCAGGCAGCGCGAGTGGGCAACGCGTGCCGCAGTAGTTGCTGTCGTTCACTGGTCAGACCGATACGTACGACAGATTCTACGGTTTGTCATCCGTCGATATTTCTCTTCTCATTGCACGTCTACTCTCCGATCGAACGAAGCTTACGAATTAAGGCATCGCAGCAGGATATGCTTCAAATATATTTCAAAGAACGAACAAAGTATCTTCCATCGGAATTCCTTCTTTTCTTTTTCTTCGCTGTTCTCTCTCACGCTGGTCAAATAGAGTTTGCCACGGGTCACCAAAAGAATACACTAACGAAAAGCGATTCGAAGACGAAGAAAGAAAGACACAGATCGAGATGAAAGAGCGATCAACGGCTTGAACGTTTTGGATTCCCCGAGGAAGCCCCGCGGATAAGATCCCGGCAGTCGGAGGCTTCCCCCAATCGCGCGCAAAAGTGACGAGACCGTTTTGGACGTTGGTCTGCCCGGTAAGGGGAGATGGAAGCTGGAAAAAAAATTACTAAATCCTATCTGAATCAGTGGTCCATTGAACGGTGGTTTGATATCGAGCAAGGATATCTCCTGGAGTTCTTTTGAAAAGGAACCCAAGCATCGCGCAGCGATAGCGGTGTATCTATGGATGGAACGAGAACAGAAGGGGGAAAAGGAAAAGCGGAACAAGAAGAAGGCTTATTCCAACAATACATCCTTCGACGTAACGCGAGGGTGTACCGACTGACAGACAGCTCCTGTCTACCAGATACCCAAGCAAAACCTACCCCTGTTGTGTGTATCGGTCAGCCCCTTCAAGAGATCGGTACACCCCACCAGCCGTTTCAAATCTTTAGCGAGTCACGAATAAATGGAGGAACACCGTATCGAAGAAACCAAAGCCCTTCCGGGGATCGTATTTTCGGGGATTTTTCGTTGTATCGAGACGTCGTCAAATATACACCGTCCATAGGAGGATGGTACATTCGCGCGTTTCAGCGATCGTTCCAGTCGCGTGTAGCGGTCGCTGGAAATGCCGTTGTTTTAACGATGCTAATTTTCTTAAACTTTATCAGGGTGTTGACCTTAACGCGAGTGTACCCGATTCCTCATTTCCATCTCTTTTTTAACGTTTTCTTTTTATTAAGGTTATTAAAGTTTCAAACTTACCTATGCGCCTGTCGGATAAGAGGAAAATTCCGATCGCGCTACGTAACATAGAATATTTTTCACTGTATTTAAATGTTACTTCCATGACAAATAGATTTTTTCGAAAGCGACGTTTCAATCTTTCCCAGGCAACCTTTCGCGAAATGGTAGAACAGCCTTTTCTATATTCCTATCGCAAAATCACGATCGTACATTCATCGTGTTCCCCTTAGACGACTGGTCTGGCTTCTACTCACGTTCCTGATCGGTGCACTCAAAACGAGAGAGAGAGAGAGAGAGAGAGAGAGAGAGAGAGGAATCGATTTATACTAAAGGACTCGACGATCACTTACCGGGCGGATCGTAACGGGACACCCTGTAGAATGGAGCATAGGCGGCGGACAGCGCGTTTTGCGGTGACAGAGCGTGTCTGATGGAGGGTTGTCACGGTATGGGAGCACCCCTCAGACTTCGATATTAAAGCCCTCCTAATATAAGAGCAAAAGCTCCGCTCTCTACCGTCGATATGCTCGTTTCAAACCTTTTCTCTCTCCCTCGGATATTTCCAACAAACGATACTGACTTTCGTGCGACCGATCGGACGACTCTGGATCTGTGGGTAAGCGAGTGGGCGTGCAAGAGGGTGAATCGCGAAAAGGATGGACAGATTCGTTAAGCTTCGCAATGTTTCTCTCGAACCTCGCAAAAAGCGTATCGCGGTAAGGAAATGCGTACAGAAAAATCGCCAGTTTGGCGAAATTCCAATTACTCCTGATTACTTACTATGTTCGTTAACGTCAGACAATCGTCGAACATCGAATGCGCGAGTTGTACGAGAAAATGTAAATTTCTGCTAGAAAACTAGATGCTTTTTATGCCGATCTCATAAATTGATGCGACTCGGTGAAAATTCATGGAAGCAAAGTCGAAAGCAGAAAAATAGTGCCGGAAGAAATAGAAAGAGCGAAGAGAACCGGGGATGGGAGAGAAACGACATAAATGCATGCTTTGGGTGCGTGCACGCACCGAACTATGCCGCTTCGTTCTCGCGTATGTGTATGTGCGAAAACGCGTGCACGCCCCTGATCTCGGCTTCCGTATCCATCTCACACGCACCATTGACCACGAATGCATGTCCGATAGGGCGGCCCATGGACCTCCTCAAAAATCAAGTTATCTCCATTCTCCGCGCGTCGTGGGGTTTCGAATAAAACGTCGCGCGACGGGGGTGGCTCCGTGCCACGACCGCGTTCTCCGCGCCGCGACCAAGCAGCCGAGTATGTCGCACAAATTTATTGGAAATGCCGTACACGAGATTACAGAGGATCGTCGTTCTATCATCGGATTCAACGAGACAAGGGAATTTATACGGGGAGATAGGAGACGAGGAGCAAAGTTTAAGATTTCTTAGAATAGATTCTCGACGCAGCGAATATTCTCGTGAAAAGATACTTTCCATATACATATATACCTACGTATAAATATGACACATATAGGTACATGCATAGGTATGTATCTAGAGACGGACACACACGGTAAATAGAAGACAGAAAGAAAGGAAACGTTGGAGTTGACTTACGGTAAATCGACGACACCAAACGCTCAGCCATTTGATGTCCCGTATCCGTTTCCCGTTAGGCAGCTTCAGAATGATGTCCGTATAGTTGTACAATTTGAGCACCACCGGGTCACTGAGCGCAACAACAAGAAAAAGGTTTGAAGGATCCAGCGTGTTGTAGTCCTCCTAACTATCCTAATAGCAGTACCGCGCTTTTTGCCGACCAGTTTTTCACCGACGAGATCGTACATCGACTGGCCGGGCGTCGACGATTTTGGCAAACAACCGTGTATCGATCGTGCTCGCGAACATTCGAGAAGACGAGGAGAGCCGGTCGAACAGGAACAAATACTTCTAATACCGTGCTCTAATAATCTCCGTTCGATTGGATCCGTTTAAGCGAGACATCGTTATTGCGCGCGGCGATCTCTCGCGACTTAAAAGGCTCGCAGAGTTGCGACGAGGGTGGAAAAGGAGGCCGAGCCGGTCTCAGACGGTGTCAACTTTTTTCACCGAATTTCAACGAACGGAACGCAGAAGAGACAAGTAACAGCTAGTGGAAACGTAATAAAGTGCTCGCGTGGACGAAATCCGAACGAGATGGCCGTATAATTCCCGTTTTATTAACTGCACCCCCGCAATCCGTTCGCCCGGCCTTCCGTCTGTTTCATCCTCCGCCCTATCCTCTCCCCTTTCACCGCCTGTCCCTTCGACGCACGCAACAAGCTCTTTGAGTTTCGTTTCATCCCTTGGTTACGGTATGCCGTTTGCGTCCACCTCCGAACCCCCTTTTCTTTTTTTCCCCTACTTCTCGGCGTTCCTATCAGGCGTCAACCCTGACCGCATACGCAACTTTCTTCTTTTCTTCGTTCGTGCTTGTTCGTGCGAGAACCAGTGTACTCGGTTTGCCTCTCGAACGTAGAAGAATGGCGACACAAGATCGAGATTTCAGTAGGAATAGAACGACAACGATAGAAACACGCGTAGGAAAATTACGCGCGAAGAAAGAATTTCATTGCTACCTGCCCTCCTTTATCTCCGGATACGGGACGATGTAACCCTGTGGGGTGGGCGTGGAGCTATTGCCCACCCAGAAGTACGCGTCCGGTCCGGTACCATCGTAACAGAATCCTTTTATGAATATCGTCGTGTCGTCCACGGCGTACACGTCTCCTTTGATTCCATGTGCGTAATTCTTCAACGAGCCGATTAATTTGCCGTAGTAGTTGGGTCCGTTGTTTGCATGACCTGTAACAGATCGTTTTATCGATTAACGTCGACGGTAGACTGTTAAAAAATTAAGACTCCGTTTATGCTAACGAAATTTTATTTAACGCTCGATCAAGCCAACTTTCACCCGTCGAACCCGCTCGTTCGAGCTGCTATCGCGCGAACGAGAAATACAAGTGGAGAAAATCGGTGAACCCACGTTGCATGATTTCCAATACGATTAACTGTTTGCCCCCGACAAATTCGGATAAATGCAGTTCTCTACCGTCTGATAGTTTAATTAAACGATTGTTATTCGTATAAGGTTCCAACGTAACGTCGAACATATGGAGCGAACTGGAGCCTAAACGAGCGAGACCGCGAAAAGACGCGGCGGCGGCGACGGTCGGGACTTCGTTCGAGGCTACGTTCACGGTTGCAAAAGGGGGAAGTACGGTTTCACCCTCGTGATATAGGTTGGACGCATCACCGCCCCGATACAAAAGCGTCGACGGACCAGCCGGCCGTGCCGCGATTTGCATGAATTTCATTTCATTTGCTCGACAGGCCCCATAAAGTTGGACGAGCGAATAGATCGGAAGAGCCGCCGCGGCAGTAAAGATCACCGGTGGATCGTTCGTACGAGGGAACGGATTCGGACGCGCGAACCGATCGTCTTCGAGCGCTTTCTCGCCTTCGGATTAGCGGTTGCGTTTAACAGTCTGAAGCGTGAAATCGAGGGAAACGGATTCCGCGAGATTGCTCGCGATGGATAGGATTTATTTCCGGTTTTATTGGCGCTCCTGGAGAGATCGTACTATCCGCGATCGGTTGCCAGGGATAGAGGGGAATTCCATTTGCACGGAGTAATCTTTTCTCGTCACGCGGTTCGCGTATTATCGTATCTTGTAAGCGCGGTAATTAGACTGCGAACGTTTACGACGATTCGCGCAATGGCTGCGAAAGATGCTGAGCACGGCCTTTATCAGCTTCTGTGTTTTACTTTACGAAGATAACCAGAGAAATGGAGATACTTGAACAGAGATACGATTCATCCTTGAAATATTCTTCCTCGCCGGTATCGCATTTTAGGATTTCTCTCGTAGAATTCCAAATTTCTAACTTTCACGATTCTTTCTCGCTGCCTTCTTTGCTTCAGGTGTATCGTATAATACTTTCCATATTGCACACACTGTACATTTTTGCGTACTTTAATTTCCCATAAATATGTAAACATCCGTAATAACGTCGATAACGTAAAAATCATCGAATAATATTTCCAACAACAAACATTGTCTCGGAAACGTTTCTCCTCTATTTTAAGGTATTTTACGATATTTTACAAAAACCAGGGCATAGATTTGCGTGCCGCCCGAGTAGTGCTAAAGGGAAGCATCGGTCGTTGATATTTTTTAGGCGAAAAAACCGATACTCTGCAAATCTTATTTCATGCACACCGAATGCACGAATTTCTCTTCAAATCTCGTCGCAATCGGCTTAATAGTTCGATCGGAATTTTGGATTTAGGGCATACGCACACACGCCTTCGCGTGTACCTATATTTTTACCAAGCGGATAAATCGCCACTGTTGGCTACAATCTCGCTACAAAAGGTAATAAACAATTTGATATTTTAAATAACCGAGTTCGATGCTGAAAAACGACTTTGATCGTTTATCTACGATATTTTTCCGACGAATATTCCAGCCGACGAAACTAGACGCAAGAAAATCCGATCGAAGTTGGGCATTTTATTAAAAACAGTAATTCTCTGTTATATTTCGTCAAATCCGTTTCCCCGCTAATATTATAAACCGACACGCCAAACGCTTTATTTATTATCGCTATGTTTCAATCTTGCACGCGTTGTAACAACTCGATATTAATACAATTTCTAATACCCGAAATCCACGTTCCGATGAATTAAACATTGCACATCGATTAATAATAATAATGTATCTCGCAATCCGTTTAACGAGCCGATACTTCGATTAGGTTCGATACAGGTCAACGACTCCCGTCCGCGCGATATCGCTGCGAACGAAAGTCGCTCGTCCGCGTCGGACCTCAAACCGTACACCTTTTGCCAACTCGTTCTCCACCTGTCCAAAAAGACGTAATTCGGCACGATCGTACGTATAATTCTTAACCGCCACGAAGCTCCCTCTTCAATTAATTCCCATTGAACGTCCAACTTAGCGGTGCGTGATTTTTGCTGGGAACGAAACACCATCACCGTCGCCCAAGGATAATTAACACGTCGTTGGCGTGCACCGGTGCGGTGTTGGACCGAAACGCAGACTCCAGGCTTTTAGTCCACCCTCGATTCCCATTCACCCCGTTCGCTCGCGGTTGTATTGGTGAACGTCGAGGTTCCGGCTACCGTTCTTCTCGATCCGTCCTCCTCCTCCTCCTCGTCGTCCTTGTCGTCGACGTAGTGTGTCTACGCCCCATCGGTATAGCAGGATATTATGGTGATGCGACAATGAACGCAGTGATCGCTATCTGGTCGGTATTGGGGGATGTCGACCCTCGCTGTGCGCTCGCGAAATCGACTATGGAATGACGTGGACGGAAAGAGGGGCAAAAGTAGAGAAGTGCAGGAGAAAAAAGGAAAGAACAGCGAATAGAAAGGACCAGAGAGAGAGAGGGAGAGAGAGAAAGAGAGAGAGAGAGAGGGAAGAAGGGAATTCGAACGGAGGGGTAGAGATATAGAAGCGTCTTGGGATAGAGAGAATATCTACTAGTAAACAGGAGCGCACACTGGTGCACAAGTACGTACCACAGGCAAAGAGAGATTATGTAGGTGCGTGCCTACGCGCCACCACCTAAACTACCCCCGACTGGTGCTTAAACTGCCTCCCCTTTTATTATGGGCCGCGACGGTTATTGGATTGTACCGTGCTATTTGTTGGCTGCCACGCTAATGGATCCATAATCACCGGGACGAATTAACGCAATGCGACGACGCGACGCCTCGCCTACGACTCGGCGCTACTTTAAACACGGCTACACCGAGCGTTGCTTCTTCCTACCCGTTGACTCGGCCAGCCGGCTCTCCTTTTAACGTACTTGACTCGTGTACTCGTCGTTAATCGGTGGATTCGCGTTCGATTACCTGCTATCCACTGTCCCCTATCCTCGAACTTTAAGCGACGTATCGACGAACCGTGTATCGTTCGCGTCTTCGTAGACGCTCCGCAAGACGATGGCTGTGAATCGTGAGCGACGCTTCGACGGAATCCGCGACTACGTGTCCTGAGAGGTTCGTCTGAAAGCAGGATATGATGCCAGAGTAGCGAAGGGAGTACGGTCAACATTCGAACCGAGTAAACATCGGCCGACCGTGCTTCTTCCCTTCGTCCTTCTCTTCCCCGCATCCTGGCTCCGTCGTGCTATTCGCAACCGTCGATGAGACCCCGAATCGCGCATAGGTTCTTCGAATAGTCTCTCCTCTCTGGCACACGTCAGTCTTATAACTCCGCTTTCACGGGCCACTGTGGGGAATACCTTAGCCCCGGGGCAGCGTAGCACAAAGCATATTGCATGTGCCCCAAATACACAATCGCAGCCGGCTGGCTGGGCCGGGAGCGTCAGGATTCGTTAGCTTCTGGCGCCGATGGTCTTTGCTCTTTCGATCGGATTCAGCGGATCCACCGCTCGCCTCCGGGCACGCGTTTAATGAGGATAGTCGTAAAAAATTCACTCGTTATCTTGCCACGTCGCGAGGTACTACGGTTCGCGCGACGCACCGCCAACGACCATGAAATCGAAGAATCCTAACGTTTCTTTTTCCTTTCGAATCTTCCTCCTTCCTTTTCGCTATTGCAAAATCGCGAATGACATTATACCGGTTTCTATTTACGGAACCGATCGGTCGGTCGATCGACGATAGAAATAGCGCGTGTATTTCAACGATTCGATAGACGTTTCCATCGACTTCCCGTTTACGAGAGTAAGCGACAAGTTTGTCCACGCTCTATGTTCCAACTTGGAGCTAATTAATTAGAAGCAAATGTTTTTTTAGTCGTGGCGAGAACTCGATTGTTTTTATGGCTTCGTCAGACTTTGCGCGCCTTCGGCCACGCGTTTAACCAGAAAGTCTCGAGAAATTCTCTTGTTACCTCGCTGTCAAAGAAACCGCGTCGCTCCTTTCCGCAGCTTATGTTCTTCGCTTCGTTTCCACTGGAAATATCTGTTCGCCTCGGTGTATTTACTTTAAATCGTAACGCAATAACGTCGGAGAAATCGTCTGTCCGGATCTCACGATGAGTCGCTCAACCACAGCTACGATCTATCCATCGCCCGACGATCATCTTCTTAAAAAACGTATCCGTATCGATCAGTGACGCAAGCTAATTGGAGAATCAATTAGCGATGACTCTTTGTTTCTTCGCAAGATCGATCGCGTTTCGTACCCTACGATTATACGGACGGGAGAAAAACCGTAAGTCGATCTCGTTTCGTTTTTCACATACCACGCGTTTATAAACTTGAGGTAAAACGAAGGTAAATCGAAAACAAAATACGACAGGTGCGTCGTTTTATTCAAGATCCCAAGATAACGAGCCAATTTATGCGCTGTAAGATCATCCTGTCTTACCGCCGTCACTTCGATCAACAGACTCGTCCTATCGGCAAGCGTAAACAATTCCGTCTGTTACGTAATCACCCATGTAGCGATGAACTTAAATTTAAAGTTACAATTAGCGCTCGTTCGAAGCACCGCGACGCAACGTTGCGCCAAGTATTCTCGTCTTGATTTTGTAACGATTCCGCGATTTCGTGAGACCGATTTGACCCGTTCAAATAACACCGGATAATCAGACCACAAAAATTAATACGATCTGATTTTACATGTGGGCCAGCCAGCCAGCCAACCAGTCGTTTCGCTACCGGTTCGCTGGGTAGCTGACTAGACTTACAAACGCGTGAACTTTCACTTTCGTGCGAAAGAACGGCCAATCTCGTTCGACGATAAACGAGACACCGTGAGATCGTGGAGAGAGCCGCAGGAACAGATACGACTACCGCGTCGC